AATTACTATTTAAAAAATTTCAATAGATATATAAAATTTAGTAAAATGAGAAAACTTATGAACTGTTAGGAGCATAAAAGTATTAAATATTTTGATTCAAAAAAATATTCAATTGAATATTTCTTATTTATTTTAATAATCTTGGTTTTTGAATAATTAGATTTTGAAAAAATATTTATTTCTGCAACTAACTGTTTCTTTGGAATTGCTAAAAAAATAAGAAAATTATAAAAAATAAATATAGAAATTACAAAAAAAAAAAAAAAAAAAAGAATTAATATAAACATAAATATGAGATTTTATTTTGAATATTATAAATAAAAAGATGATACTATTAAATAAAAATGTTAATATGTATATGCAAAAATATATATATATATATATATATATATTACTATTTCCGTTAAACTCGATAATTCCAAACAATTTTACTGGAAGTTCATCTTTAAAAATATTTAGAAAAAAAATAAAAATATAATAAAGAAAAATAATAATAATTTTTTAAAGAATTTTTTTAAAACTTTTTAATTTTAATTCTTTTTATTAATATATAATTTTTTATATTATAATTTATTATTATTACTATCAAAATCATTTAATATCCATTTTATTTCATTTTTCTTTTCATATTTTATCTTTCCCTATTGAAATAAGGAAAAATGATCAAAAATAATTTGAATATTATATTATTTTTTTTTTATATTTTACTATAGATTATTACCATATCACATTTTAAATTATGATTTATAATTTCATTAGGAAAAGGAAATTTTAAAAAAAAATGTTCATTTTTTTTCTTTGATGTTTTTATATAAGGTATTTTATTGTTCCATTGTAGTATTACATTTATTTCTATTTGCTTTTCGTTTATGTTTCTAACTTTATAATAACCTTAAAATCATTAACATTTTTTATTTACAATTAGCAAAAGAAACTATAATTAATGAACTATTTTTACTTCTTTTTTATTTTTTTTTCATATTTGCTATTTTTATCTTTTTATAATGTAACCTATAATTGGGCATATTAAATTCCTATAGTAATAGGTCAATAATCTGTGACTTGGATATTTACTTGAAACTTTTATTTTTAAATTACCATCTCTAAATAGAATGAAAAAATATATAGATTAATATTAATGCAATTTATATTTTTATACATATACGAATTATTTGAACATGTAATTGTGTATTTTCAAAAATTTTACGCATAATTTTCATTTTTTATTTATAACATTTTTTCTATAGATGCCAAATCTGTAGCATATATATCACAATATTTATTGTCTAACTGAATCATCATATCAATATCTAAATATTTTTCTTCGTCACTTTTTAATATAATCTCACCCTTAAAAGTACATATAATAAATATTTTATTATATATATATATATATATATTATTGTATTTTAAAATATTGAAACCTTTAATTCTGCATTTTCATTTTCAAAGTTTGTTACAAAACAATTTAATTCTTCCTTAATTATTATAACAAGGGTATCATCTTTGTTTTTTCTTATAAATATACAAAAAAAAAAAAAAAAAAATGCAAAATTTTTTATATATGTTTTATTTTTTTTTTTTTATTTTTAACTAAGTTTTATTACTCATGCATATAAAGGGGTACATATGTTTGAATGTTCTCTTTACTAATTTTTATATTTTCATTTTGATCAAACTTGTTTATTATAGGTATTCTTTTATTTTCCTCAAACATTATAGAATAATTATAAAAAAATAAAAGAAATAGAGAGTAATAATTTTTTGAAATTTGTCTGTTTAAAATTCTATTTTGATTAACTAAAGTAAAAAACGTAAATAATAAATTTCTAAAATTATATTTCATGTTTTTATTAGAAATAAAATCATTTTTATAAACAACAAAAGATGGTTTATTATTTACATATAATATATCATTGTGCTTTTTCTTTTCTATGTAATTTTCATTTTCATTTTCATTTTTTATTAAATTTCTTGATTCATTATATTCAATAACTGGTTTATTTTTTAAAGTATCCTGTTTATTTTCATTTAATATAGTATTGTCATCATTTATTAAAAATAAAAAATTATAAAAAATAAAGAAATTACTCTGTAAAATATCTTCACATTTATAAATATCCTTTTTTAAGTAATTCAAAAAGAAAGAGTTATTTCTATAAAATCTACCATAAGGAATAACAGATGAAATATATATATCAAGAATTTTTGTAAATTTTTGTAGTATTAAATTATTACATAATTCATTGTCTTTTATATTAGAAAATCTTTTATTTCGGAAAAAGTTAGTTTCTATATAATTTAAAAATTCATCCATAAAATTATAATAAAGTAATTTATCAGTATTATTTTTCATAATACTAATATTATTACTTTTTGAATCATCAATATACAGTAAAGTTACTAAAAGTAAGTTTTTCTTTTCCATAAATAAAAATGGATATAATATCTTATTCTTTACATGAATACTATAACAACTCACAGTTTTATTTAATTCAATGTATTCTTTATGAGTATCTATATCCTGATTTTTTTTATTAATTATTTGCTCTCTAATTAGATCATCAATATTTTTTAGTTTAAATATATTTACATAATTCAATTCCTATCAATTGTAAGAAATAAAATCAATTTTAGTAGTGCAATAATATATTAATGTAAAAATATAAATAAATTAATATATATATATATATATATATATATATATATATATATATATATACATATATGCAAAAACAATTTATTAATAAGAAAAAAAAAAAAAAAAAAAAAAATTAAAAAGTTCATATTGTTGTAAATTTGTATTTACTTCAATGTATATTATTATTTAAAAAAAATGTTAGAAATAAAATTCTAAATATCCTTACTTGTATACTCTTAGCACATATTTCAACATTAAAAAAAATTTTTTGATATACCAAGTCATAATTAACATCTTTTGATTTAAATAAAAATAGTGCTCTAATTCCATTCATTTTGTATATTTAAATTTAATATATTTTAACAAATAAAGCTTTAGTCAAAATAGACAATAAATCAAAAGAAGATAATTGAATAATAATGTTCAGTCATGTTAAAAAAAAAAAAAAAAGAATAAAAAAATAGAAAAAAATACGCTTATATGTGCATTCAATAATTCAAATTATTCATGAAAATAAAAATGATACAAATTAAAAGAACTATAATAAATTTTATGTTGTATCAGTATAAAAAAAAATAATAAAAAAAAAAAAAAATCAAATAAAATCAGTGAAAATAAATGTTAATAATTTAAAAGTAATCAAAATAAAAAATTAAAAAAAAAAAAAGAAAAAAGCAATAAAAAAATTTTCATAAATATGAATTCAAAGCTGCTATGGAAAATCAATTAGGAAAAAAATGAAATATAATTATAAATAAAATATTAAAAATATATGTGATTAAAATAGTTATTATCATAAATATATATATATAAAGAAAAAAAAAAAAAAAAAAAAATCAACAAAATATACATATTTATTTTTTTTAGAATTATTATTTTCGTAAATTGAAATAATAAATATAAATCAATATACATATGTATATATATCGTGGAAAAAGTTAAAATATATTCACATTAGTATCATGGTTGTTTATTTTACATATAAAAATATTAATAGAGTAAAATAAATATATATAATAAAAACAAATTTTTTCTTTTTTCAATTTATATTTAAAAATAGCATTTTGAAATTTTATTTTTTCATTAGTAATTAAAAAGGAATATGTTCAAATATTAAAAAAGAATTACTCTATAATATTATTATTTTATATATTTTTATCTTTTTAATTTATTTTAAAAATATAATTTAAAAAGTGGAATATATTTTTTTTAAGTGGAATTTGGTCTGTCAATTTTTCTACAATTACTTCATTACATTCCCTATTGTATTCATCACTATATTTTCTCTCATTAACAGAATTAGGTTTGGTAATCTTTTGTCTTTTTGAAATATCTTCATATATATTTTCTTTATTTATAAAATTATTGAATTCAAGTGTGTAAACTGTAGTTCTTTTCTTTTTTTCTTCTCTTTTCTCTATTTCTTCTTGGATTCCTTTTATATAGCATCTCTTACATACACATACTTTGTTATGACACTTCATCCTATCGTTGCTAGTAGTCAATTTATAGAATTTCATTTCATTTTTTAAATTATCTAATTTATTTTTATTTTTTGGTGTTAAGTTTGGGGTTGTTGTAGCACTTAAAAGAAGATATTTATCTATATTTTTTATCTTACTTACTTGATATTTATTTTCGTTATCTTTATAAAAATTTAATTTTTTAGAACTATTTTTTTCCTTAAGTTTAGACATTGAAATATATTTACTTTTCCTTTTTACATGTGAAAAATTCTTTTCTTTATAGGAACATGAATTATCAATTTTTTCTGTATGTTGATCTTCAAATAATGCACCATTTTTAACAAATTCAAAAATTCTTGTATATTCATTTAAATATGTTAATTTTTCCATTTTTCATATGACAAATTTATAAAAGTAAAATATATTTTAAGTAATAAAAGTAATAAAAGAAAAAACGAAACAAAAATATTAATAAGAAAAATTTAAGTTTTATAATATTTAAATTTAATTATTATGTGTAGACAACTTTAATTAAAAAATATATTAAAATAATGAAATAAGAATGAAAAAATTATAGATAATTTTTTTTATTAAAAGCAAATGTAATTTAATCAAAAAATATAAATATTGTAAAAAATCAAAATTTAAATATTACATTAGCTTTATATAATAAAATATATAAATCCTGAAAATATATGAAAATTAAAAAGTATATATATATGTATGCATATATACACATGTGTGTATATGTATATATATAATAAAAAAAAAAAAAAAAGAATTCAAATAACTATTTATGAATAATGAAATTTATGAACATACACAAATTTTCCAAAAAAATAAAAAATATAATGAAAAACAGTTGTAGGTAGCTAAATTAAAAAGTACAATGTTGTGAGTTAACTATTTATATTTATATTAAAAAAAAAAAAAAAAAAAAAAAAAGTGAACTATTAAGTAGATTAATGCTGTTCATATTTACAAAAGTGGGATTTTAAATGTATTCTTTTTATTATTACAAATTGATCTAACAAAATAAATTTCTAAAAATAAAATTTAAATAAAAAACTCAGCAAATAATCTTAGTATAATTATATTATCATAGATTATATTTTTTTCATTTATGTTATATTAAAAAACAATTTTTAAAGTACTGAGAATATTGTATGATTTGTTAATAATATTTTTTTTTATTTTGATGTATCATAAAAAAATTTTATTAGAAATACTTAAAAATGATTGTAAAAATTAATATTTGTGTTTTTAATTTAAAAAAAAAATTTCTTTATAAATTAAAAAGAAGTAAAAAATTCAAATTTATTTATAAACAGAAACAAAGTGGGTAATTAGGAAATAAGGAAATTGCAGCATTATTTTGTCTTCTATAATAATGAAAATTTAAAAAAAATAATTTATGAAATAATTATATATATTGTTATATAATTAAAAATAAATATTTTTTATTTTTATATTTGATTGCTAAAAACTCCATTAATATTCCTATTCAAATGTATCGTATCTTTTTTTAAGTATATGTATTTTCAAATGACATAAATCTTAATTTCATGTGAATTCATAATTACGTCTGAAAAAAAAAAAGATAATATATGAAAAAAAGATGGTACGTTTTAGATGAAATTGCCAAAAATATATATTTTTAATTTTATGTAAAACATTTTTGGTTAAAATAAAATTTTAAAATATTTATTTTTAAAAAAGAAAGGAAGCATATAAATTTCTGTGCATTAAAAATGATTGAAAAAATATTTATTATTTATTTTTCATAAGGAAAAATATAATTAAACATACAATAATAAATAAAAAAAAAAAAAATTTTTAATTAAATAGTCAATGACAGCACATTTTGCATTATTTTTCAAATTTCACCAAATTTAAATTAACGATTCAAATTTTGAAAAATCACATTATATATAAAACAAAAAAAATAAACATTTATTTTAAATATTTTTTTATATAAATATTTTTATATTTAACTCTTCCTTTTTAGAAAAGCTAAAAATAAAATGATTAATATAAAAAATAAAGATATATCAAATATTATTATTATATCAGCGATAAATAATGTATGATCTTAAAATAATATAGTAAAACTTCATTTGAAATTATAGAAAACTATATAAAAACAAATATGCTTAAGATTAGTCTATAAATGCAAGGTATATTATAAAATATATTAATAAAGAATTGTGAGCTGTGATTTCTTCCGAAAAAAAAAAAGAAAAAAGGAAAAAATATAACGTGCAAATATTAAAATACTTTATATTTTGCATAAGTGAATAATATTAAACTAAAAATTAACATTTTTTTTTTTAGATAAAAAACTTTAAGAACGAACAACATATAAAAATAATATAATAGGAAGATAATATATATATATATATATATATACAGAAAAGAACTAATGTGAGTTATAATAATATGGTATAAATATTGTAAAAAAGGTGTTAGTAAATATTGAACAGCAATTAAAATTTTTCATAAGGTATTAAGATATATATAAAATCAAATAAAAAAAAAAAAAAAAACCAATGAATATAATTCCAAAAAAAACATATGATGGATGAATATAAATGCATCAGCTGTTTTGAAAACATATATTTAAATAGTGAAAAAAATTTATTTTTTTTTGATATATGTAAGCATAAAATATGTGCAGAATGCTTAGAAAATCATTTAAATAAGCATAATAAGCAACATTGTCCACTATGCAAAGTGACTATTAGTAAAAAAAATGTTGTTCCATTTGACATAGAAGAGCGAATATATGCAAATCAAAAAAATATAAGATCAAAATTAATTGAAATTTTTAATAAGAAAAGACATAATTTTGAAAATACTCCCTTGTATAATAATTATTTAGAAAAAGTAGAAGATATTGTTTACACATTAACAAATGAATATGATGAAAAAAAAAGGAAGATAATTGAAGCATATATTAAAAAATATGAGAAAGAAAACAGTAAATTAATAGAAGAAAATAATACTCTTATGTATGAAAATGAAAAAAAAAAAATTCATGAAATTGTAAAAGAAGAAGGCAATTTATATGAAATAATTAAACATAGACCAATTATAAATAAATCCAATAATGAAACATATGTTCATTCACTAATTAAAGAAAATCCCAAATTATTTGATGAAATAAAGGTAACTAATATATCTGAATCCCAGCCACAACCTTTAAATCCTGCTTTTAAAAATGACACAGATATACCAAAACGTAAATTTTTCAATGAAGAAGAATTAAAAAAATCTGATTATGCAGGTGGATACGATACTTCCATTGTTTTTAAAAGATGTGATACTGAATTCAATTCTACTATATATTTTAATATATAAACATATATATATTATTTTATTAGGATGTTCCACTGATAAGAAATATAATCTTTTTTTTTATTTATTTTAAATATTTATCTTTTTTTTTTTTTTTTCATTTTAAAAGATATAATTTATTATAAATTAGAATGTTTTGTAAAGTTGTTTTTTGTGCATTAGTTTATAAAAGATATATTTATTTTAAATAAAATATTTTAAATAGTTGCATTTAAATAAGAATAATTCCTTAAGAAATTTTATTTTTTTAAATAACTCATGTACTTTTTTTTTTTTAAAATAATTTCCTTTTAAAAATTTCATCTCTATATATATTACTATTACATTTTATTTTTAATTTTATATCACTGTAATTAATTTGTGGTTTTTCTTTTTTTTTTTTTTTTTTTTTTTGTTCTTAAAAAAATAATGAATAAATTTTTTACCATTTTCTTTATATTTATAGAAATAAAAAAAACATATAATATTATTGTATAATATTTTTTATACTTTTCAAAATTTGCTAATATTAAATATTGGCATTAAAATAATTATATTCTTGATTTTTTTTAAAAAAAAAAAAAAACATATTAATGATGCTTATTGTGAATTATATTATACAGAAAAGGTTCACTTTTAAAATAAGTAGAAGACATATGAAATGTGTAGTCTTTTTATTTTTTATATAAAAATCTACAAAATATTTTAAATTTCATATTTTCTTTAAAAAAGTTATTATTATATAACTTTCATATAAAAGTCGATAATAATTTATATAAAAATTGAAATTTTTTTTTTCTTTTAAGTTCTTTAATGCTGATTAATTTTCTTAAAATAAATATAAATATTTTGTTAATAAATATATGTTATTTTAATATTCATTACAATTCATATAATGAATTAATAATAAAATATTTTCTTTTTTTTTTTTTATTAACATATAACTTGATTAGCTTAAATACATTTAAAAAATAAAAAAAAATAAAACAAATTTGATCATTAATCACGTATTGTGGTTTATGTTATAAATTTGTATTTTCAATTAAAGCAATGTATTTGAATCCTCAAGAAATTATTTAATTAAAAATATTATAATTAATTAAAGAAAATTTATATAAAATTTATAATTCAGATTAAATAATTTTATTCATTTTATATACATCGTTTTTAATTTTAAAATATAAATATATATATATATATTTCACTTAATAATTACAATTAATATTTTCTATTGAGATAAAGATGCTTTTCTACATATTTTTTTACAATTATTTACTTTAAATCAAAAATATAAATTTTATAAATTAAAAAAAAAGATAGATGAATAAATAAATAAATAATTGAAAATAATAAATAAAATAAAAGTAGAAATAAAAACAAAAAAAAAATTATAAAAATAATTAAGCTAAAGAATAAATTAAAAGGTAGTATCTTATTATAAAATGGAAAAAGAAATAGACGAATTTTATGATATAATATGTAATGAAATATTAAATTATTTTCTATTACCAAATGAAAAAAATAAATATTTAAGTTATAAAAGGATAAAAATATTTATAAGTGATTTAATTGATTTCTTAAATTCGGAAAGCTTTTATATTTTTACTAATTATCGTGAATCAAAAGATAAAGAAGAAATTTTTTTTAAACCTAAACTTTTTTCTTTCACATTATTACCACAAAAATTAAATAAAGAGATATTAGAATTATGTAGAGAATGTACATTACTATATTCAGAAATATTTGATAGTATGATTTGTGATATGCAATTTTTATTAAAAACCTTTGAAAATACAAAAGAATATGATGAATTTTATAAAAGTATCATTGATATATGTGAAAGAGTATATTTAAACAAAGAAAACGGAAGAGATATAAAAAATGATATTCGTTGTGTTATAGGAAGATCTGATTATATGACTAACAAAAAAGACAATCAAAAAGAAGACGATATTGAAATAAAGCAAGTAGAATATAACACGATAGCAGTTGCATTCGGGAATTTATCATCTATTTTATTTAAAGCACACAAAAATATTATCAAAGAAATTTATAGAGAATATTTTCCATATTTTAATGAAAAAAATGAAAAAGAAATAAATGATATATTAGAGAAAAAATTTCAAAATAATTTCACAGAAGGCATAATTACTTGTTTCATTGAATGTCATAATGCTTACATATCTAACTTTAAACCATTACAAGGAAAATACAAAACAATCATAATTTCAGTTTCAGTTGGTGATGACTTAAATAAATTTGATAAATATAAAACGAAGAATGAATTAAAAAAATTTGGTATTGATCAAATGTTTTTTACTTTAAAAGAGTTGCAAGTTTTATTTGAAAAAAAAAAACTTTTTTTAAATTATAGACATGAAACTTTACGAGACTCTTTAAATAGAATAAAAAAGAATTCTAATGATTATGAACAATTTAAGCCAGGAAAATTATTTTTAAATTTAAATGATGATGATGCTAATTTCTTAAATGAAACAAATTATGAAAGGAATATATATGAAATAAGTGTAATATATTTCCGATCTCTTTATTCTCCATATCATTTTAATGAAACAATTTGGAGTTTAAGAGAGATGATTGAATTTAGTGATTCAGTTAAAATTCCATCTTTACCATATCAATTAGTAGGATCTAAACGGATTCAAATGCTATTATTAGATGATGATATATTAAAAAAATATATATCATATGATTTAAATAAAAATAAAAAAACAGAACAACAAATTATTAATGATATGAATACACTGAAAAAATCTTTTGCTTTACAAGTTGATCCATCATTAGATAAAAATTCTCATATAATCTCTTTAGCAATTGAAAATGAGAAAAATTTTTTACTAAAACCACAAAGAGAAGGAGGAATGAATAATTTGCATGGCAGTGATGTTAAAGAAAAACTGATGCTTTATTATGATGAAAAAGAAAAACATAAATTATCAATTTACGTTTTAATGCAGAAATTATTCCCATCTTCATTCATAACTGTCCATTGTAGAACAAAAAAAAAAGAAAATGAAGATAATGATCATTCATACTTTATTGAATTTTCTCCAGAAAAATCAATCTCTGAAATTAGTTTGTTTCATAATTTTATTTTTTATAAAAATAAAAACATTTTAAATGAACAAAAGGGTTATTTAATTAGAACAAAAAATATTAATGAAAATGAAGGAGGAGCTATATGCGGAATTTCAAGTTTAGACTCTTTTTTTTTAATATAGAAAAAATTCATATTAATAATTGAAAATAAAGAAAAATATATATATATATATATATATATATATATATATATATATATATATATATATACAAAAATGTATTAAAATTCAAGATATAAAATAAATATCTCAAAAATATTTTTAAAAAAAAATTCTAAAAATTTTATATTAAAATGTAATTTGTTTTTTATTATCATTTGTTTTTTTTTTTTTTTTATTTTTTATTTTTTTTTTTTTTTTAATTTTTAGAATTTTATTTATTTGTGAATATTTTTTTTTTTTTTTATCACATTTTTCAGTTTCAGTAAAATTAATAAAATTTTTTATAAAATTCATTATCTTTTAATGAATATTTAATTTTTATTTATTTTAAAGTATTTTCACATTTCTTTCTTTTCTTTTTAAAAGATTTTCTTTTTTTTTTTTTTTGTAAATCGTTTTACTATATTCCTAGTTCAATATTAAAATGTTTTACATAATTAAAAATGTAGTTAAAAATATAAAACATTTCAACGATGTAAAAACGATATTAATTTTAAAAGAAAATATTTTGAAAGAAAAAAACTTAGTAGATGAATATAAATTTAGTAATTCCTTATCTCATATATTTTTCAATGGTACACCAATTTTTTTAGAAAATAATAAAAAGGAAAATACATTACTTTTCAACAAGGTTAGAAATGATAAAAAATATAGAAAAAGAGGTTTTCAAAAAAGAGGATACTGGAAGAAAATGCATTATTTTATTAGAAAAAACAACATGATGTGGTAAGAATATAACTTCAAATTTTATTTTTTTATTAAGTCAAATTTAAAAAATAAAAAAGAATGATTTCATATAAAATATTTGTATTTCATATATCTAATTAACATTACACATTAGTTATATATTTTATATTAAAATTTCCAATTATTAATTTTTTTTTTTTTTTTTTTTTGATGTTTTTTTTATAGTTATGCTTTTAAAGTTCAAAATATAGATTATGAAAAAATCAAAAAATTGAAAAGAGGAGAAATATATTCAAATTAAAAATAATTCAAAAAAAAATTTTTTTTTCTGTATTTTTTATTTATTTTTTTTTTTTTTTAATATAAAATTTTTCCACATTAAAAAATTTATATAACTTTCCACCCTTTAAGCTTGAGGAATAGCAATTTTTCTTTGATTTGTATACATTTCCAGCTACAAAAGAAAAAAGAATAAATATATATATAAGTAATTAAAGAATATATGATAATAATATTTGTAATATATAAATATTTTTGTTTTACATCACTAAAAAGTTTTTTCAACTTTTCTTCTGAGTTACTAATAACTTTTTTCCTGCTCTCACTAAAAAAAATAAATTTTTTTTTTAAATAAAAGAAAAAAAAATTAAAATTTTATTTATATTTTGTTAATTTTAATTTTACATTTCTCCACTAATATAATGTATTCTTCTAGTTATGGTATCATAACATTTACTTTTTTCTTCCTTCACTAAGATTAAACCTACAAGTTTGTGTAAAATTGCATCATCTTCTAATTTTTTGACATCCTATTTAAAAATAAGAAAAAAATGATTTACACATATTTACAAAAAAAAAAAAAAAATAAAATAAAACTAAAACATTCAAAATAGTAAAATACAAAAAGTTAAGAAATCTTAACAATAATTTTTTTGTTATTCTATAAATATATGCATAAATATATATAATCTTATTTACTTCTAGTAGCATTTCATTTTCTACTTTTTGAGTGATAAGTTCTTCCAATTGAACATTTAATTTTTCACAACCTTAAGAAAAAAAAAAAAAAATTGTTTTATTATAGACCCCTATTTTATCAACTATGTATTTTTTTTTTTAATCTAACTTTTATTATATTTGTCATATTTTTTTTCTTTTTTTTTTACTTGTTTTTAAGGTATTTATTTCTTTGATTATTTTTGTGATTTTTTCTTGAGACATGTTAAATTATTTAATATTTCAAAAATTTCATTAAATATTATAATTACTTTAATTTTAATAAAAAAAAAATGTTATTTCAAAAATGAAAATTACTAAAGGTTGTTTTTTTTATAAATAATTTATTTAATTTAAAAAAACAAAAAAAAAAAAAAGGTATTTTATCTAATATCATCAATTAAATGAATATATCTATATTTTTTTTTTTTTTTTTTTATGCTTCTAAAGGAA